GATTCTTAAATATAACTTCACATGAGACTGCATTCGCTTTGTAAATCGATTGTAGATGTCCCTCCATATTATAACGGATTGACCTTTTAAATCATTTAAGTATCTACATTAAATAACAATTTCTTTTTGCCACATTATAGAATTTTTTTAACTTTTTCTTGCCATTCAATATTTTTATTTCATAAAAGATAAGTGCAAAATTGAAACAGCAGACTATTCTATGTCAATTTCTAGAATGTTAAATTTTGCAAATTGTTTTATTATTATTGTGTGCACAGTTTTTTGCAATGTCGTTCAAATATATTTGTGATTAGATTTAGATATGGATAATTTTTCCTGTTTTAGGAAAACACGAGTATCGAGGAACCAGAAGACAATGGTAAGAGATGCCTTTTTTATCAATCAATATTTATTATTTTTTAATTAGCCTTGATAAAAAACATATCACAAAAAGATTTCAATATGTATATTTATTATTAAAAAATGCATTACTGAGAAATATAATTAATAAATGATACTGTTCTTAATAAAAAATATATTAGTGAATTAATCAACATTTATTAGATAACATTATTTTTCATTAGAGAGGAAAGTTCCATAAAAACTCAGTTTATATTGAAAACGTAAAAGAAGGATTTTTTATTTGATTGCATAACAGTTTGTTATGAATCAATTTACATCGACATCTATTAATACACAAGCGATGACGCTTGTCGAAGTATTATACGCTGTTCTAGATACGTACTGATAAATTAAGAAGATTAATTTCAATTTAAAACTGTTGAGCGCTTTGCGCGTATATTTTAATCTTAATTAGTTAGAAAAGTTTACAATAATCTTAAATTTTTGATGAATAAATCTTTTGATAAAAACAATCATACTAAAATTATGAAGTGAGATAAAGAAACATGAAAGTGTTTGGGACCAATTAAATTCATTATAGTACTGACAATTTAAATCAAAAAGAATTTAAAAGCTAGATGTTCCTTTTTTATAAGTTGGAAATATATCATAATGAAGATATATTATAATGTTTTATAGAGGTACTTCTCGAAATGGGATGCGTAGGAATCTGTGGGTCGGACATTCATTATCTTGTCAATGGCAGAATTGGCAATTTTATAGTGAAGAAACCCATGATCCTTGGTCATGAGTCCTCTGGAACTGTTGCCAAACTTGGAAAAAATGTTACGAATTTAAAGGTACATCATGCATACGTATATATACGTGTTTACTTTATTCATAAATCCAGGAGGGATTTGAGGATACAATTTCACTCCGAAATTTTTTATTAATTTTTTCATTTTTATTAATTATAAAAAATACAATTTTTCTTTCAATTTTGAGAGAAATTTTTTATTGTGACAAAATATTTTTTGCTTTTGTTATGGCCACGTAAATAATTTCTGGGACTTTCGTTAGTTAGAGCTTTGCTAGGGTGTTCGATACAGAAGAAAAAATTTCACAAAGTTTTTGAGCCGAAAAACAGAATAGTCGAGATTAATGACTCCATTCACAATTACACAATTTGTTTGTAATAACTGTATTTTATTACACTTTCTTTAGGGGAAAAAATTATGATTTATAAAATCTAATACTTTTCCTATTCAAAATCAGGAACCAGAAAAAGCCTTAAAATATCCAAAAACTTTAATTTTAATCTCTACACTATTCGAAAGAACAATTCATTAACACAAAAAATTGCTGTTAATAATAGAATTGATAAAACTTTTCTCTTTTCTAAAAAATTTTAATGTACCATGATTTTATCGCGTTACTTTTGAACTAATATTAATATTGAAGAATAGTTGTTCTTTTATAAAATATATATTCCTAGTATTTTCTTGTTTTTTATTTTCTGTAGGTCGGTGATCGTGTTGCTATTGAACCTGGCGTGCCTTGCAGGATATGTACACATTGTAAAGAGGGACGTTATAATCTGTGTAAAGATGTTGTCTTTTGCGCAACTCCGCCTGTGCACGGCAATTTAAGACGTTTCTACAAACATGCAGCTGATTTCTGTTTCAAGTAAACATAGTTGATTGCACATAATAGTTTGATTATACATATTTACACATAATTACATTAAAACCGACAGTGCAAACAATGATGTAGATGCAAGATAGCTATCCAGTAATAAACACTAACAGTAACATCACATTAATATTATAATTTCCTGACCAACAAAGTAATAGTATATATTATATGTAACATTGTTAACAATTACATTGTTGAATAGGAAATTATAACATTGATGTTATATTACTGTTAGTTTATTAGATAGGAAGTTCTTTTTGAATACAATATGAATACAAATTGATAAAATGTGTCGTCGCAGATGGAAAGAAAATTAACTTCTGTATTTGTGATTTTTTGTAATAGATTACCCGATCATGTAAGCTTAGAAGAAGGAGCACTTTTAGAGCCATTATCGGTGGGAGTACACGCTTGTAAACGGGGCGAGGTCGGAATCAGTTCTAAAGTACTAATTCTAGGAGCTGGTCCAATCGGTTTGGTGACCTTGCTGGTAGCCAAAGCCATGGGTGCGAAGAAAATAGTTATCACGGGTATGTGTTAAAGACTAAAACTTGAAACAACAGAAACAAATACTTTAATCTATGTTTTAACGATTTTCTTTATCTTTAGTCAACATTTTATTTAAATAGTCACTATATATAAAAAGTGTGAGTTAATATTATTTCATAGGGAAGTATAGTAAGGTTGGAATAAAGTTCGTAACGTTATGAATTTCAAACAATTTGTAACATCGTTAAACATGAACGAAATTTAAAAAGAGATTTTAAAGCTTAAAATCTCTTTTGAAAGTTCATGTCTTTTTAGTTTCTATGAGTTTGGTAATTTTTACGTATAGAAAATTACGAGCTAAACAAAATAGGAAATTTTCTTCTCACTTTGTGAGTTTATTACGTATAAAAAAATCTTGTGAAAATTTTCGATTTTCTAACGTAACATTTTTCTCTGCGTAATCGTTTTTTGAAAATGTTTCTAAGATTTTTTATTACTAAGTTATTGCAAATTATATAAAAGAAGCATTGTGTCTTTAATTGCTCGTGATTTTGTTAAAAATCATCGTATCGCAATTCAAAAAATAGATTCGTAGACTAGTATTCATAATCGGTTCTTATATTTATTTAATTTAAGTAGTCTTAAAATATCATATACCAACCACAAAACTATTTGGTATAATTTATTTACTATAATTGCCAAATTTTTTTTATTATCATACAAAAGAAAACTTCGTTATTAGCGTTTTATGAAGGTAATTACGATATCAAAATTCAGTTATTTTCTTAAAAATCTTTTGCTGATTTATATTATGTATCAAAATAACATTTTAGTATTTTTTTCTTGAGAAGTAAAGGAAACTTCCTATACAAAATGACATACATGTTGTTAATGGAAAATTCTGTACAGATTGCATTTGTAATGTCATGATAACAAAATTTTTGATGTATAACTTATCGTAAACTTGTTTGTGAAGTGAATAAATAGTTTATCAAGTTATATTTACGTAATTGCGAATGAGAGAAAAACATCCACATTGGATATATGGTGTAATGATGTTGCAATGTTGATCGCGAGATAAGGCTTCGCTGAGGCATTTAGCATGATAGATACTACCTATGGAACAAGAAAGTATATCGTCGAGGTCACGCAGTTACAAAGTATCGTGTGTCGTCAAGTAGTCATTTTTCTATTGCAAATTTGAACTACGCATTGATACGTAGACCGCTGTTTTTTCAAGGATACCGCATCTTTCTTCTTAATATGTATTTCCATTCTTTTGTAGATAGCACAAAGCACGTTTTGCAAGTAGCACAAGTTCTCTTTTGAAGAATTCTAAATGCAAGCCTATACAACTTGTAAATGAGATGTAAGTAGGCGCGATTTATGTTTATAGATATCTTGCAAAGTAGACTGAACATAGCGAAGAAACTTGGCGCCGACGTCACGTATCTGGTGCAAAAGGATAGATCGGAGGAGGATACAGTGGCTGATATTCATGCAATTTTCGAGGGTGAACCTAACAGAACGATAGATGCCTCCGGTGCACAATCCTCGATTCGTTTAGCAATTCTTGTAAGCTACAAAATATATCCTTATTTTAAATTAAACTATTTATATTAATTAGATTATTTAAAGATTAGTTGACAATCTAAAGAAATTAGATTATAAATCGTATTTGTACATCAGGCGACCAAATCTGGTGGAGTTATTGTGTTAGTGGGAATGGGTGCTCCAGAGGTACAAATTCCACTAATAAACGCTTTAATAAGAGAAGTTGACATCAGAGGTGTTTTCCGATACGTAAATGAGTAAGTTTCGATTAGTCAAATTATATGTTAAACAGGAAAAGTATATATTAATATTAATACTTCGTGCTAAATTAAATGTGAGGATAATTTATACACACCAATTTAATTACTGAGAGAAATAGCCATCATGATTCTAAAAAAATCAGGGTTCCTATTCTGTACACGTTTACCGATAATTGTTACATATCATTGCGCAAATATTTTGTATGGCAAAAAAACTGTGGTAGACATGTACAGAATAGCACCCCAAGAAAAGTTCTATAGTTTTTAATTTATTTATAGTCTTCACATAGATAAATTATCTTAATGTTGCGCTTCATAGAAGATTATTCTGTATGATTTTCTTTTCCTTTCACATTGCAGCTATGGCGATGCATTGGAGCTTATCTCATCTGGCAAGATAGACGTGAAGTCGTTGGTCACTCATAATTACAAGCTAGAGGAGACCAAGCAAGCGTTTGAGACCTGCAGAACTGGAGCAGGTGGAGCTATCAAAGTTATGATTCATTGTAAATAAACGAATTACAGTAAATACAATTGTAATTCTCTGCAAGAATTGTAAATGTTACGCGAAAGGCTTTATATTATGTCATCTTAAATTGAATTTAGTTATGTAAGTAATTTTCTTAATCTCTTTGATATTTGATTTAATTAGAGGTAGAAAAATGGAGAAATGTTTAAATATTGACATAGCTATATGTATAAAATATACATATATATTTTATACATGTATATAAAATATATAAATATATATATATTGCAGATTGGCAATGTTTTAATGTCGAAACTTTCATAATGTAGTCTCGTGTAAATTCCATTGTCTTAATTTACACATAATGTATCTTTCGCATCTTGGCAATCAATTAATGGTAAGAAACATTCCTAAATGCTGTTATATCGAGATCGCATAAAATATGTACGTTGTTATTGACGCGTATAAAGGTGATTCTACACGGTCAATAATACTAAACTGTTAGTATTAACAAATTCTGACAATGATTGATCCTGTGCGGTAATATTGATTGATTGACGTAGAATACTGACAGTGATCTGGATTTTGATTCTTGGACATTAGTATCGTTTTATTAGGATCCATGTCACAGTGTGTCACAGTATGTCACAATGCAATAGATATTATATGTAAAACTAACGTGAAATATATTGTCAATAATATTGATCGTATAAGATTGAAAATATTGATGTATACTGTCAGTATTACTGATTCCATATTATTCTAATCAATATTATTGATCGCGTAGGGTCATCTTGGCTCAAAAGAATGGCGATATATTCGAAACGACTTTCGTTAGTTAATATATTTTTTTAGAATAATAACCATATATTTTATCTAAGTGATGAAGTTTTATTTCCGAATTTTTTTGCCCCAAAAGGGTATCTCGATATAATTTTTTGTTTCTCTCATATTCTTATTTTTAACAAAAATTATATTCTAATATCTTATTATTTATTCTAATATAAATAATAATAAGATATTAAAATATCTATTCTGTATGATTATA